TGCCCTGCCAGGCCCACCCATGGCTGCACCCCTGCCCAGTCATGTGAAATCCATAGATTAGGGCCTAATTTATTTATTTCAATTTGCTGATTTCCTTATATGAACTGTAACTCAGTAAAATCGTTGAAATTGTTGCATATTGTGTTTATATTTTTGTTCAGTATAGTTTGCCATGTATGAACATGTTATTCAGTGCGTTTCTGTGGACTTACGCGAAATTCAATGTTTTATCAAATAATTGTTCTACGTGTGTGTGTGTATATATATTGTTTTTTTTTTATCCTACAGGGGTCCTAAAATTCTAAATCAAATAGCAAAATCATCCATGGTATGGCCATCTTAAAATAATTCCATATGTTAGCTGAGTAGAACCCCCCTTAGACTTGTAGAGCTTAATTTATGTGCATTGTCCAAATAAATAAATACATTGATTCTGTTACAAACATTTACATTTTACCCTGTCCATATATGCCAATTCCCTCGAGTGTAAAGTGTTAATCAATCATCTTATAATTCTGCATGTTGTCCACTAATGGCTCAATTCAATCCGTAATGCTGAAGTTCTGCGTTACAGCAGGATTTAAATTTGAAGGCAATGTTCCCGTGTTCACAGAGACTACATTCACGGTAAATGCTGCATGAGTCGGTTCAACCACAAATTAACTTTACATTTCAAGTGCGCTGAACTTCGGCAATACAAATTAAATTCAGCCCTAACTTGAACTAGTACATTTAATATTTTCTATTAAGCTAAAATATACAATGAAAATATTGGCATTGTCGTTACCTTTGTCTGTTTGAAGACGGTTCTGTTTTTGTGGGAATCACAGCCGAATCTGCAAAGGAACGCATTATACAGTGGGGAAGAAAAGTATTTAGTCAGCCACCAATTGTGCAAGTTCTCCCACTTAAAAAGATGAGAGAGGCCTGTAATTTTCATCATAGGTACACGTCAACTATGACAGACAAAATTAGAATTTTTTTTCCAGAAAATCACATTGTAGGATTTTTTATGAATTTATTTGCAAATTATGGTGGAAAATAAGTATTTGGTCAATAACAAAAGTTTCTCAATACTTTGTTATATACCATTTGTTGGCAATGACACAGGTCAAACGTTTTCTATAAGTCTTCACAAGGTTTTCACACACTGTTGCTGGTATTTTGGCCCATTCCTCCATGCAGATCTCCTCTAGAGCAGTGATGTTTTGGGGCAGTCGCTGGGCAACACGGACTTTCAACTCCCTCCAAAGATTTTCTATGGGGTTGAGATCTGGAGACTGGCTAGGCCACTCCAGGACCTTGAAATGCTTCTTATGAAGCCACTCCTTCGTTGCCCGGGCGGTGTGTTTGGGATCATTGTCATGCTGAAAGACCCAGCCACGTTTCATCTTCAATGCCCTTGCTGATGGAAGGAGGTTTTCACTCAAAATCTCACGATACATGGCCCCATTCATTCTTTCCTTTACACGGATCAGTTGTCCTGGTCCCTTTGCAGAAAAACAGCCCCAAAGCATGATGTTTCCACCCCCATGCTTCACAGTAGGTATGGTGTTCTTTGGACGCAACTCAGCATTCTTTGTCCTCCAAACACGACGAGTTGAGTTTTTACCAAAAAGTTCTATTTTGGTTTCATCTGACCATATGACATTCTCCCAATCCTCTTCTGGATCATCCAAATGCACTCTAGCAAACTTCAGATGGGCCTGGACATGTACTGGCTTAAGCAGGGGGACACGTCTGGCACTGCAGGATTTGAGTCCCTGGCGGCGTAGTGTGTTACTGATGGTAGGCTTTGTTACTTTGGTCCCAGCTCTCTGCAGGTCATTCACTAGGTCCCCCCGTGTGGTTCTGGGATTTTTGCTCACCGTTCTTGTGATCATTTTGACCCCACAGGGTGAGATCTTGCGTGGAGCCCCAGATCGAGGGAGATTATCAGTGGTCTTGTATGTCTTCCATTTCCTAATAATTGCTCACACAGTTGCTTTCTTCAAACCAAGCTGCTTACCTATTGCAGATTCAGTCTTCCCAGCCTGGTGCAGGTCTACAATTTTGTTTCTGGTGTCCTTTGACAGCTCTTTGGTCTTGGCCATAGTGGAGTTTGGAGTGTGACTGTTTGAGGTTGTGGACAGGTGTCTTTTATACTGATAACAAGTTCAAACAGGTGCCATTAATACAGATAACGAGTGGAGGACAGAGGAGCCTCTTAAAGAAGGAGTTACAGGTCTGTGAGAGCCAGACATCTTGCTTGTTTGTAGGTGACCAAATACTTATTTTCCACCATAATTTGCAAATAAATTCATTAAAAATCCTACAATGTAATTTTCTGGATTTTTTTTTCTCATTTTGTCTGTCATAGTTGACGTGTACCTATGATGAAAATTACAGGCCTCTCTCATCTTTTTAAGTGGGAGAATTTGCACAATTGGTGGCTGACTAAATACTTTTTTCCCCCACTCTATCACATTTAAATTTTCTGTAAAACTTCAGTGAATCAGTTGCTTTTGTCTGAAATAAGGTTAATCTGAAACATTTGTGGGCAGAACTGAAAAAGCGTGTGCGAGCAAGGACGCCTACAAACCTGTCTCAGTTACACCAGCTCTGTCAGGAGGAGTGGGTCAAAATTCACCCAACTTATTGTGGGAAGCTTGTGGAAGGCTACCCGAAATGTTAAATAATTTAAAGGCAATGCTACCAAATACTAATTGACTGTATGCAAACTTCTGACCCACTGGGAATGTGATGAAAGGAATAAAAGCTCTCTACTATTATTCTGACATTTCACATTCTTAAAATGAAGTGGTGATCCTAACTGACCTAAGACAGGGAATTTTTACTAGGATTAAATGTCAGGAATTGTGAAAAACTGAGTTTAAATATATTTGGCTAAGCTGTATGTAAACTTCCGACTTCAACTGTACATATTTTAGATCTGAGGGGTTTACAACAAAGCAGGATCAGTGGGTTAGCCAGCTAATATGCCTAAATATTTTTTTACATATTATTTTGAGGCAGATGTACAGTTTTGTTTTCCAGGAAATGGTGTGACAGAAAGAACACTGCAGTACGGGCCAAGTTCGCATTCCCAACCCACCTCTCTGTCAGTTTACATTCCCATCCCACCTCTCTGCAGGTGCAGACACGGATCATCTTCACATTCCTTCCACGTAAGTGGAAACGTATGTATCATCGTCATTATGATGTAATAGGAATGTTAAGAGTGCATTTTATCATTACGGGTGACAATTGTAGTACTCATCACTGCATTCTCTACAAGAAAGTTGGTTGGCCCTCTTAGATGTCTCATAGGTTAATACATTGCTATGTTTTCATTTATAAAGCCCTTTTACAAAAAGTCCCACTGTAGGCTACTAACATCTTTACTAAACTTTAGACATAGGAGTTACCACACCCGGTCTCAGGGATGGCTAACTCTTGAAATTCCTTTGGTCTCTACTGAGTTAGCTAGGTAAATCAGCTATTAGTTTTCTTGAATCTTATTTGTGGAACAATCTTCAAAATGTTCTTACATTTGATGCAAAGCAGGATCAATGAGTTAGCCACTAACTTTTTTTTTGTTGAAAGATAAGCTTGACATTTATTTTGTTTGTTTATCAAAGTTGGCTGGCTAACTCATTGGTGCTGCTTTGGTTCGTCAAAAGAATGCACGTTTGCAAAAATATACTTGACAAAACCATGTTCATTACTTGAAATGAATAGGAAACAAACTGCAAGTTAACACATACATGATGAAAGGAATATTGTTGTTCATACAGACATTTAAATACAGTAAAACTTCAATTATTTGTGTGTTTATTTGCTTAAATTACTGAACAAAAAAGGGCGCTTATTAGATGCAGGCTTCTTTTTGACCCAGGTGTCTATTTCCTTAATGCACACAGCTTTTACTCATTTGAATAGTTAATTGTTCCAGCATTCACTTCTAGCATTTAAACCCTCTACAGACTAAGCTCTGTCTAAGCCGGCGGAGGGGGGGGGGGTTCTTCTATGCTAACATTTGGAATTGTTTTAAGACGATCATACCAAGGATCATTTAGCTATTTGATTTTGAATTTTAAGACCCTTTAAGGTATCAAAAAAATCATAATATTTGATGAAACATTGAATTTGCATTAATGCTATTAGCCAATAGAAACACATTGACTAACATATTCAAGAAAATCTAAAGGAAGTTTGTTCTGAAGTGTCTATCCTATATCTGAGAATAATAAGAAAGATCAGGAAACTATTAAAATTATACTTCCATTCATTTTTTTTACTGATACTTGGGACCTTCAGACAAGTCTTTTGAGGCTTGTGGGCGTCCTAGAGCAAACACCATCGTCTCAGCTTTCCACAGAGGGGTCATATTAGTGTGTGGCCCAAACCGTTAGTACACTACAGATGTTTTCGTGAAAATAACGATTTTCAGGATGTCTCATGGTCTGACAAACACCTTTCACTGCAGATGCGGAAGTGCGATTATGCCGGATGCGGTCGATTGAGTCGTAACCCATGCAAGAAAAACAGATATCTCTAGCTAAAACAGATTTTTTTATTATGTTAACTACATTTCTGCAGGGCCACTTTGAATTTGCATTTTAGTCAGTTATTAGTTTTGCCAATAGAAGTTGTTGACTGGTTTTGTGCTTGCTAGTTAGCTAGCAGTTCACAGCTGTTAGCAGCCAATGGCTAGTAGTGTCTTACTGATGATAAAAACAGATGATTGCTATTACAGAATTATTTAATGTAACAAATCAAACCTTAAACCTTATAAACAATCCATGGTAATTCATAGTATCCTCATAAACAATTTTAGACCCTGCGTTTATTTGAAACAGGTGTTTATTTGCTGAAATGTGTGCTGTTGCCTGGCTAGTAAAAGGGACAGGCAGCTATTTGAGACTCAGTATTTAATTGAAGTTTTACGGTAGATAGATTATGTCATCAATACAGTCCAATCTTAAAACTGTTTTGTCTCATTGGAGTCTCTCACCAGGCTAGCACCCTTCAGTTCCACAGACACCTGTAAGAGAAATGACATACAATAAACTCTTTCATGTACTAATTGAGTTATTACTAGCTAACACGTTCTGTTCTTACAATAACAACTTGGCAATAAGATAATAGGACCCAGAGTTAGGGTTGATTTAATTTTAATTCAGTCAATTCAGGAAATGGAATAGACCCCAACTCTGATAAAAGCACAATGTCTTCATTGCCTGTCTGTTGCAATAAGGAAAACAGTCTGTAATATGCTGCTTGTTGTTACCTGTCTGAGTGGTTCCACCCTCCTCTTCTTCCTCATGGTGGAAAGTCTGTCCATCTGGTTGGGTCCTCCAGCACAGTTGAACGTCAGACACACCCTGCTTCAGGAGCTCTACATGCAGCTAGATTAAAGCAAAAGCGGTTAGATTATATTTTCTCCCTCTCTCTCACCTGCTGTAGGAGCTGGTCACCGACTGCCTGGTCTGTCAGATCAGCATCTGATTGGATCTTCATCCTCACCACCGTTCTCTTTGACTTGGGGGCTGAAACACATTTGGTGATTTTTTTCATGGTGCAAAATATTTCAAATCTGTGCAAAATACTGGAAATACTACAAAATTCATCATGACTTGACAGTATGATTTAATTTGACATATTACTTTAACAATGCTCTGCACAAAAAGGTGATTGTTTTACTGGAGTTTATTAAGCTGAGCAATGCATTAATAGTGTTATTTTTTTAAAACGCACGTTGTTGCTGAACATGTTTTTCACACTGCCAGATTATAATGACTTTTACGGTATTTTTTTACACAGATTTGTACTAGTGAGAGAGAGAGAGAAGGGTGGGGGAACAAAGAGAGAAGGAGGTGGGGGAGAGAGAGAAAGAGGGGGGGTGAGAGAGGGTGGTGTGGGTGAGAGAGAGCAAAAGGGGTGTGGGAGAGAGAGAGAGGGGGTGTGGGAGAGAGAGAGGGGGTGGGGGAGAGAGAGAGAAGGGGATTGGGGAGAGAGCAAAGGACATGATTATTGTACAGAAAGAGAGGTGGGGGACCGAGAGAGGGAGGTTGGAGAGAGAGAAAGGGGGGCGGGGGGTTGGGGAAGAGAGGGAGGGAGGGACATGATTATTGTACAGTTCGTTGCTATAGTGAAAATGCCTCTTCACTACAGGAAGACTGAACATATCAATATATTTCATGAATAACAGTTTTTTTATTGAATCACATAAACTGCTGAATTACAGTACAATGGTATCTATTCTATTTCACTACTCACCTGGGGTTGTTGATGCCGTTGTTCTCCAGTGAATTACCAATGCGGATCTCAGCACCATCAAGCCTCTCAGGAACAACATCTCTTCTGTTAGTGATGCTGACAGCTGTCACTCTGGTCACATTCAGCAGGTCCACTCTCCACCAGGGGTTGATGTTAAACACAGTGCTGCTGCAGGATCCACCACTCGATGACTTTGCTTGGACTACACCATAAATCCCAAAGGGAAGACTGAGCGGCCACTCCTCTCAACGTCACGTTGTCTATTTGAGTGACAGAGACAGATACAATACACAGGTTTATTCATCAGTGGACACAAAGTATGAGGCGTAAAACCGTTTTGCAGCTTAGTTCGGTGTCTACAGTACTTACCAGGCATAAAAGAAAGCTACATCAAAGTTGATACTGTGAGATTTCAAAATGTTTAAAACAAAGAGATGCTGTGTTTATGAGTGAGTTCATGTTTACGTTGTTACTCAGCACTGTCAACACTTCGAATTCAACACTTTTATAAGCTATAAAATGTGCGTTCTTCCTATTTCCACTCAGCGCTACAACAAGCACTGCAGCAGTAATGAATGAGTATCGAGTGTATCGAGTGTATCGATAGGCTTGTTATTGTTGTTATTATTAGCAGATTTGGTCTTTTTTAATATTGAGGAATATTTACCTTCCTCTGTTTGTAGGAGTAACAACATGAATTTGTGCAAGAGGCAGAAATAATGTGGTGTGACTTGAGTTTTCGCCATCTGAAGGATGGTGTCCCTTTTTGGTCAGTGTCAGTGGAGGAAAGGGAGAGTGGAGTGGTGTTAAGAGGTGGACCCTCAGTCTGCTGCTCTCTCCCTCTGCTGAGACTGACCATCAGATGCAGGCATCATCAGCCCAGTAAAATAAAAATAAAAAGCACATTATTTAAATGAATTAATTAGCTAAATCATGCAAATATAACTTGTCTGTATATAAGAGATCTAACGGGACTGCCCCAGTAGAGCACCTGAACAAACGTTCAGTATGGTGCATCAAGTTTGTTGGAACCTCTCTAGTTTACTGTTAATAAACAGTGTTTCATTTAAGATTGATTTTGAGTGTCCTTGTGTAAGAATTTCCACAATAGTTGCATTCTACATTATTCTCCATTATTCTCCATTATTCTACATTATTCTCCATTATTCTCCATTATTCTCCATTATTCTCCATTATTCTCCATTATTCTACATTATTCTCCATTATTCTACATTATTCTCCATTATTCTACATTATTCTCCAAACTTTTGACTGGTACTGTATATTATCATCATAATTTTTAATATAATTAGCCAAGGTTATAAAACAGTATATCCAAACATAAAATAAACATACCTGTATTGAGAGGGCTATCTTGTCCTCAGCTGAATCCCGCGCTTGTCACACCCTGTTTCACCTGTCTTTGTGATTGTCTCCACCCCCATCCAGGTGTCGGCCTTCATCCCCATTATCCCTAGTGTATTTATACCTGTGTTCCCTGTTTGTCTGTTGCCAGTTCGTTTTGTTTCGTCAAGCCTACCAGCGGTTTCCCCCTTGTTCTTGTTTTCTAGTTTTGACCATTCTGCATGCCGTTCTGTACCTTTTGGACTCTGCTCTGGATTACTGACCTCTGTCTGCCCTTAACCTGTCGTTTGCCTAGCCCCTGTTTTTTTGTTTTTGTTTTTTTAATAAACTTTTGTTACTTTGACACTGCCTGCATCTTCTCCTGAAACGTGATATCGCTCCTCTCCTCCTCCTCAGTGTGTGTGATCGATTCTTCTTGCACTTTTTTTTTTTAAATCACTCTGGCCAACATGCAAACCTGGGTCATGTTCATTAGTGCACACAACAGAAAAGGAGCAACTTTTTGCAACTGAAAACAAAAATTTGTGTTTGTTATTGGATAAAATCAGGTAGTCCCTCACTCCCTACTTCAATCTGTTTTCTTCCGTTTGGTGCCTTATGAACACAACCCTGTATTAGCCAAACTTGGTTAAGGTAAGGTGAGGTGTATTTGGTTAGCAGTGGTCCGTAGCCCACCACCCTGTGTGTGTGTGTGTGTGTGTGTGTGTGTGTGTGTGTGTGTGTGTGTGTGTGTGTGTGTGTGTGTGTGTGTGTGTGTGTGTGTGTGTGTGTGTGTGTGTGGTGTTGTTTCCCGGGGGGATTTGGTTAGCAGTCATCCATAGAACCTAATCCACTCCCTGAGGTGACAATAGTTACACAACTTAAACCTTTTCTAAATAACCCCTTTGGACACTGAATCTGTTGCAAATTAAATACTTCATTGTAAATATTCAAAAACCATGAAAGCAGAAACAAGTTGGTTCTACCTTAAACAAGAATGAAGCTCTTTAATTTGTTTCCAATAACCTTCAATTTGCCTCCTTACCACCTAACCATTTATTTTTACTTATATATTATCATTCTTTTTTATAGTATTAGCCAAGGTTATGAATAATTCAACATTATATCCAATCGTAAAATAAACATACCTGTATTGAGTCACTCACTCCCTGTTTCAATCTTTTTTCTTCCGTTTGGTGCCTTAAATACACAACCCTGTATTAGCCAAACATTGGGAGGGTATGATGTTTTTGGTTGGCAGTGTTCCGTAGCCCGCCACCCTGTGTGTGTGTGTGTGTGTTTGTGTGTGTGTGTGTGTGTGTGTGTGTGTGTGTGTATGAGGTGCTGCTTCCTAGGTGTATTTGATTATCAGTCATCCATAGAACCTTAACCCCTCCCTGAGGTGAAATAAGTCAACAGTGGTTTATCTAATAACAGCACTTTTACATTTAATGTTTCTTTAGAAGAAAAAAAAAACGATTAAATTGAGGCTCAGATATACTGTAGTATTAAAAGAGGGGATGTCTTTATTTCATGCAGATGTATAAATTCGGTCAAATGCAGAATTTAGACTAACTGTAAAAGATAAAACATAGTGTGAAAATTGACTGTTGGGAACCAAACATTGCAGGTTCAAACATGTTCAGATTGTCAACATATGAAGTGTAAAACATATTTTTGTATTTGAATAATTAATAAAAGCTGTACAAATGTCCTATGAATGAAATTGAAATGCCTTGTGTCTCTATATCACCTACAATACAGTCCTCAAATGTTAATTTTAATCTGGAAACAATTATAAAAAGGATGTATTCCAATCTGCTTTAATTTGCATGCTGAGAAATGGAAATACCACATTTTCTAAATATTCTTGAAATGTTCTGAGGACCTCCAAGACAAGGTAAAAGTTCCTCCAGAAAGTATTCACAACCATTTACATTTTTGTCAAGAGCAAACGCTCTTATCCAGAGCGACTTACAGGAGCAATTAGGGTTAAGTGCCATGCTTAAGGGCACCTTGACAGATTTTTCACCTAGTCAGCTCGGGGATTAGAACCAGCGACCTTTCGGTTACTGGCACAACGCTCTTACCCACTAAGCTACCTGCCGCCACCCCTTGACTTTTTCCACATTTGGTTTTGGTACAGCCTGAATTTAAAATGTAAATTGAGAATTTGTGTCACTGGCCTAAACACAATACCTCATAATGTCAAAGTGGAATTATGTTTTCAGAAATGTTTGCAAATTAATTCAAAATGAGAGCTGAAATATCTTGAATCAATAAGTATTCAATCCCTTGAATTGATTATAACATGTATTGAATCAGGGGGTTGACTACTCATCTAATGAAGATATATTAGTGTTTTATATTTTATAAAGTTTTTACAAATGTTAATATTTTTCTTCCACTTTGACATTACAGAGTAATCTGTGTAGATCATTGACAAAAAAAGTACAATTAAATCCATGTGAATCCCACTTTGTAACACAACAAAATGTGGAAAAAGTGAAGGGGTGTGAATACTTTCTGAAGGCTGTATGTGTTCAAGAGAACGTTCCAGAGTAGAGAGACCCACAGTAGCATCTATAAAGGAGTACTGACAGTGTCTGCTGTGGCAGGTGGGAAAGTGTAAGTTCCCTGAAAAAGATCTAATCTCTCAATGTTCTAATCTCTCCATGTTAAACAATTATTAGTAGGTTGATTGGTAAGGTTAATGTGGCTCATTTCACTGTGTTTTCAGAGTCCCGCAATATGAGCTACGATGCTAATATTTGTTTAAACTCTTCCCAGTTGTGTTCTGTGGTTGTCACTGAGTAGACTGATACCCCATTTCATTGATCCATTATCCATAGGTGATGCTGTACAGTGAAATATAAGTATGCCCCAATGCAATTCTGAAGTCTAATCCATCCACAGTGAGATTTGATGTGATTTGATCATATTATGAAAAACGCAGCATCATATGATGCAAAATGCATCATAGGGGGATGATTTCTGTATTTTGAAAGTTAAATATCTTGAAAACTTGAGTGCTCCATTCGCAAGCAGAGGAGCTCAGACAGCAGTGCACTTAAGGGTTTCCAAGGTCTTCATCTTATTGCGTTTCTACTGCAAAGGAATACGGGTTAGGGAAAGAGGGTCAAAAGGTTAGAGAGAGATTTTACTTATTGATGTTGGCTATGAGGAGAGATTATGTTCATGGGACAGTTATACTGTAAGAGTTTGTGAGGGAGTGAGTTGAGAATTTATTTGAATTGTGGACACTGTTCCATCCATACCTTTTTATTGGCTTGTGGAGAATTCAGTTGTTCAACAGTGTGCGATGACCCTGGACCTGCGAGGAAGAGAAAGAGGAAACCAAGTAAATTATACTGAACAAAAATATCAACTCAACATGCAACAATTTCAACGATTTTACTGAGTTACAGTTCATATTAGGAAATCAGTCAATTGTAATTAATTCATTAGGCCCTAATCTATGTATTTCAAATGATTTGGGTGGGCATTGGAGGGCATCTTCTTATGTTTCCAGTAACTTGTAGTGCAACACAACCTCACAAATCACGTTACAATCCTGCAGAGGATACACAGATGATAGGAAAACACACTCGATGGGCCTCGGTGTTTCCAGATGTACAGTCGTGGTCAAAAGTTTTGAGAATGACACAAGTATTGGTCTTCACAAAGTTCGCTGCTTCAGTGTTATGAGATATTTTTGTCAGATGTTACTATGGTATACTGAAGTATAATTACAAGCATTCCATAAGTGTCAAAGGCTTTTATTGACAATTACATTAAGTTTATGCAAAGGTCAATATTTGCAGTGTTGAACCTTCTTTTTCAAGACCTCTGCAATCCGCCCTGGCATGCTGTCAATTAACTTCTTGGCCACATCCTGACTGATGGCAGCCCATTCTTGCATAATCAATGCTTGAATGTTTGTCAGAATGTGTGGGTATTTGTTTGTCCACCCGCCTCTTGAGGATCGACCACAAGTTCTCAATGGGATTAAGGTCTGGGGAGTTTCCTGGCCATGGACCCAAAATGTCGATGTTTTGTTCCCCGAGCCACTTAGTTATCACTTTTGCCTTATGGCAAGGTGCTCCATCATGCTGGAAAAGGCATTGGTCGTCACCAAACAGTTCTTGGATGGTTGGGAGAAGTTGCTCTTGGAGGATGTGTTGGTACCATTCTTTATTCATGGCTGTGTTCTTAGGCAAAATTGTGAGTGAGCCCACTCCCTTGGCTGAGAAGCAAACCCACACATGAATGGTCTCAGGATGCTTTATTGTTGGCATGACACAGGACTGATGGTAGCGCTCACCTTGTCTTCTCTGGACAAAGTGTTTTCTGGATGCCCCAAACAATCGGAAAGGGGATGTCCCTGATGTTTTTCCTGGAGAGAAGTGGCTTCTTTGCTGCCCTTCTTGACACCAGGCCATCCTCCAAAAGTCTTTGCCTCACTGTGCGTGCAGATGCACTCACACCTGCCTGCTGCCATTCCTGAGCAATCTCTGCACTGGTGGTGCCCCGATCCCGCAGCTGAATCAACTTTAGGAGACGGTCCTGGCGCTTGCTGGACTTTCTTGGGCAACCTGACGCCTTCTTCACAACAATTGAACCTCTCTCCTTGAAGTTCTTGATGATCCGATAAATGGTTGATTTAGGTGCAATCTTACTAGCAGCAATATCCTTGCCTGTGAAGCCCTTTTTGTGCAAAGCAATGATGACGGCACGTGTTTCCTTGCAGGTAACCATGCTTAACAGAGGAAGAACAATGATTTCAAGCACCACCCTCCTTTTAAAGCTTCCAGTCTGTTATTCTAACTCAAGAGATGTAAAGTAAACATGTTTAGTAACCCAGGCAGCCACTGTTCCACTATTACAACATTACAGAGAGAACGAGGCATGTCCCCAGTCCCGGAGCAGGACCTATACCTGGGGTTAAGTACTTAAGGATCACTGTAGTGAAGAAGAAATTGTGTCTATGGTGTGATGTGATGGACAGAATTAATCTTTACCTGACATTGAAGTCGGCATATCCCTCTCTGGCCAGTAGCTGTGGTAACAAGCCACTAAGCTATATGGAATTGGTTTAAGAAGGTCATACCAAGGATCATTTAGCTATTTGATTTTGAACTTTAAGACCCCATAAAGTATCCCCAAAATATCTACAAAAGATTATTTGATTGAAAATAAAGTATGGCCTTACTGCTATTAGCCCACATACAGTGGGGGAAAAAAGTATTTAGTCAGCCACCAATTGTGCAAGTTCTCCCACTTAAAAAGATGAGAGAGGCCTGTAATTATCATCTTAGGTACACGTCAACTATGACAGACAAATTGAGATTTTTTTTCTCCAGAAAATCACATTGTAGGATTTTTAATGAATTTATTTGCAAATTATGGTGGAAAATAAGTATTTGGTCACCTACAAACAAGCAAGATTTCTGGCTCTCACAGACCTGTAACTTCTTATTTAAGAGGCTCCTCTGTCCTCCACTCGTTACCTGTATTAATGGCACCTGTTTGAACTTGTTATCAGTATAAAAGACACCTGTCCACAACCTCAAACAGTCACACTCCCAACTCCACTATGGCCAAGACCAAAGAGCTGTCAAAGGACACCAGAAACAAAATTGTAGACCTGCACCAGGCTGGGAAGACTGAATCTGCAATAGGTAAGCAGCTTGGTTTGAAGAAATCAACTGTGGGAGCCATTATTAGGAAATGGAAGACATACAAGACCACTGATAATCTCCCTCGATCTGGGGCTCCACGCAAGATCTCACCCCGTGGGGTCGAAATGATCACAAGAACGGTGAGCAAAAATCCCAGAACCACACGGGGGGACATAGTGAATGACCTGCAGAGAGCTGGTTCAAACAAAAAACTACAAGTGTGCTTGCTTTAGTTCCTCAACGGCACAGCTAGGAGAGCTCAAACAAGAACTTAATAGTTGAAGGCTCTTCCTTGAGTCATAAAAGTTTATTGAAATGACTTAGGGACTGTGCACACTTATGAGAGGTGTGTGGACACTTGGAGACACAAGTTATACCTCTCACTCTAACCCTTACATTTCTTTGCTCTTATGTTGCGGCTACTTCAGATTATGCATTAATTTTCTTAACATGTTACTGAATGTATCCAGAGTATGTCCAGATTTCATTATCAACAAATGCATCGAAAAGTACAGTAAATGTGAAATGCACAAAGTCAAAAGTGTAAAGTTTGCATTCAGGCTTGTGTCTGTTGATCTGTTGTATCCTCACTTTTGTTCTGATAATTTCCCCATAATCCCCAAAGTGTTCCCTTTCAGTTGCTACCATGGTTATGCATACAGGACGTCCTGTGGTGGACAATTTGTTAGATCTTTTGATGAGTCATTGATAATAATCTGAACATTACATTTTTATTAAAATAAGATATAACAGGGGAACATAGCTACATTCAATATATTTCACAAGTTGATTTAATACTTTAAACCCTTTCTCATGGTTGCTGTCTTGAGAGATTTGTAAAGAATCATGTAGCTAGACAGAGTCTACAACTGTGCGCATTGGTCAGATAGGTTATTGCACAACACCCAACGCTATATTCCTTTCCATTATTCAGGATATTTAGACTGACAACAAATGACAGAGTAGCCTAGTGGTCATTTTCACAAAATGATCTGGGCCCAGTTTTTGAAATGTTATCTATTCAGATTTCGGCTATCGGATAGGATTAAACCATTCAAATGAAGCTCAACCGGGCTGTTGAGCTAATTTTTACAGTGAATTTTAAATGAAATTAAACATGTGAATTATGTTTGGCATATTTTATCATCTTAACCAATGTAATTTGGTATAATTATCATGTGGTTTTCATTATTGTACTTCTGTATTTCCTTAAACACAAATTCTAAAATGGTTGAAAACCAGGAAGTGAAATTTTTGTCTGCCGATATCTATACTGCAGCACTGGAGTACCGTCCTATTTTTGTTCTTTGCAGCAGGGTTGTAGCCACTTATTAACTTTTGGTTAATCTAGGGCAGTGGTTCTCTAACTCTTTGGGGCTGGAAACACCTTTTGTGATTTATCAGGGATCCCTTTTGTGATTATCAGGGACCTCCTCATAATCAGAACACAACTTGAGTGAGATACAAATAGCATACAAAGTTTTACTATGACTTCGTCAGTGCATGGCCGGAGGAACCATGTTTATGGGGCCCAGGCAATGTACACTGAGCATACCAACATCAGGAACACCTTCCTAATATGGAGTTGCACCCCCCCCCCCCCCCCCACCCACCCTTTTGCCCTCAGAACAGCCTCAGTTTGTTAGGGCATGGACTCTACAAGGTGTCGAAAGAGATCCACAGGGATGCTGGCCAACGTTGACTCCAATGCTTCCCACAGTTGTCAAGTTGGCTGGATGTCCTTCGGGTGGTGGACCATTCTTGATACACACGGGAAACTGTTGAGTGTGAAAAACCCAGCAGCATTGCCATTCTTGACACAAACTGGTGCACCTGGCACCTACTACCATACCTCGTTCAAAGGCACGTAAATCTTTTGTCTTGCCCATTCACCCTCTTGTAGTTGGCCACCAGGTTTGCACACATCTCAGGAGGGATTTTGTCACACTCCTCTTTGTAGATCTTCTGCAAGTCATTAAGGTTTGGAGGCTGACGTTTGGCAACTCGAACCTTCAGCTCCCTCCACAGATTTTCTATGGGATTAAGTTCTGGAGACTGGCTAGGCCACTCCAGGACCTTAATGTGCTTCTTCTTGAGCCACTCCTTTGTTGCCTTGGCCGTGTGTTTTGGGTCATTGTCATGCTGGAATACCTATCCACGACCCATTTTCAATGCCCTTGCTGAGGGAAGGAGGTTCTCACCCAAAATTTACGGTACATGGCCCGTCCATCGTCCCTTTGATGCGGTGAAGTTGTCCTGTCCCCTTAGCAGAAAAACACCCCCAAAGCATAATGTTTCCAACTCCATGTTTGACGGTGGGGATGGTGTTCTTGGGGTCATAGGCAGCATTCCTCCTCCTCCAAACACGGCGAGTTGAGTTGATGCCAAAGAGCTCCATTTTGGTCTCATCTGACCACAACACTTTCAAACAGTTCTCCTCTGAATCATTCAGATGTTAATTGACAAACTTCAGACGGGCCTGTATATGTGCTTTCTTGAGCAGGGGGACCTTGCGGGCGCTGCAGGATTTCAGTCCTTCACGGCGTAGTATGTTACCAATAGTTTTCTTGGTGACTATGGTCCCAGCTGCCTTGAGATCATTGACAAGATCCTCCCGTGTAGTTCTGTGCTGATTCCTCACCATTCTCATGATCATTGCAACTCCACGCGGTGAGATCTTGCATGGAGCCCCAGGTCGAGGGAGATTGACAGTTCTTTTCTGTTTCTTCCATTTGCAAAATAATCACACCAACTGTTGTCACCTTCTCACCAAGCTGCTTGGCAATGGTCTTGTAGCCCATTCCAGCCTTGTGTAGGTCTACAATATTGTCCCTGACATCCTTGGAGAGCTCTTTGGTCTTGGCCATGGTGGAGAGTTTGGAATCTGATTGATTGATTGCTTCTGTGGACAGGCGTCTTTTATACAGGTAACAAGCTGAGATTAGGAGCACTCCCTTTAAGAGTGTACTCCTAATCTCAGCTCGTTACCTGTATAAAAGACACCTGGGAGCCAGAAATCTTTCTGATTGAGAGGGGGTCAAATACTTATTTCCCTCATTAAAATGCAAATCAATTTATAACATTTTTGACATGCGTTTTTCTGGATTTTGTTGTTGTTACTCTGTCTCTCACTGTTCAAATAAACCTACCATTAAAATTATAGACTGATCATTTCTTTGTCAGTGGGCAAACGTACAAAATCAGCAGGGGATCAAATACTTTTTTCCCTCACTGTACACAATCCATGTCTCAATTGTCTCAAGGCTTAAAAGTCCTTCTTTAACCTGTTTCCTCCCCTTCATCTACATAGATTTTAAGTGGATTTGACAAGTGGCATCAATAAGGGATCATAGCTTTCACCTGGATTCACCAGGTCAGTCTATGGCATGAAAAGAGCAGGTGTTCGTAATGTTTTGTAAACTCAGTGCCTTCAGAAACTATTCACAAACCATTACTTTTTCCACATGTTTTGCTGTTACAGCCTGAACTTAAACTGTATTAAATAGAGATATTTTTTTGTCTCTGGCCTACACACAATACCCCATAATGTCAAAGTGGAATTATGTTTTTAGACATTTTTACAAATGAATTACAAATGAGAAGTTGAAATGTCTTGAGTCAATAAGTATTCAACCCCTTTATTATGTCAACCCTAAATAAGTTCAGGAGTAAAACTTTGCTTAACAAGTCACATAATAAGTTGCATGGACTCACTCTGTGTGCAATAATGGTGTTTAACATGATTTTTGAATGACTACCTCATCTCTGTACCCCACACATACAATAATCTGTAAGGTACCTCAGAGCAGTGCATTTCAAACACAGATTCCACCACAAAGACCAGGGATGTTTTCCAATGCCCTGCAAAGAAAGGCACCTATTGGTAGATGTTTTTTTGTATTTAAAATGTGACGTTATTCATTACACTTTGGATGGTGTGTCAGTACACACAGTTACTACAAAGATACAGGCATCCTTCTTAATTCACTTGCCGGAGAGAAAGGAAACCACTTAGGGATTTCACCATGAGGCCAATGGTGACTATAAAACAGTTACAGAGTAATGGCTGTGATAGGAGAAAACTGAGGATGAACCAACAACATTGTAGTTACTCCACAATACTAACCTAATTGACAGAGTGAAAAGAAGGAAGCCTGTACAGAATAAAAATATTCCAAAATATGCATCCTGTTTACAACAAGGCACTAAAGTAATACTTTTTTTTTTATGTGGCAAAGGAATTCACTTATTGCACTGAATACAAATTGTAATGTTTGGGGCATATCCAATATAACACATTACTGAGTACCACTCTGCATCTCTTCAAGCATAGTGGTGGCTGCATCATGATATGGGTATGCTTGTGATCGTTAAGGACTCAGGCGTGTTTCAGGTTAAAAATGAAACGGAATGGAGCTAAGCACAGGTAAACTACTAGAGAAAAACCTGGTTCAGTTAGATTTCCACCAGACACTGGGAGATGTATTAATCTTTCAGCACGACAATAACCTAAAACACAAGGCCAAATCTACATTGGAGTTGCTTACCAAGAAGACAGTGAATGTTCCTGAGTGACTGAGTTACAGTTATGACTTAAATCTACTTGAAAATATATGGCAAGACCTGAAAATGGTTGTTTAGCAATGATCAACAACTAATTTGACAGAACTTGCCGAACTTGGAAAATAATTATTGGCAAATGTTGCGCAATCCAGGTGTGTAAAAATCGCTTCGAGACATACCCAGAAAGAATCACAGCTGTAATTGCTGCCAAATGTGCTTCTACAAAGTATTGACTCAGGGTTGTGAATACTTATGTAAATTATATATTTCAAAAATTTATGAAAACAGTTTTTGACTTTGTCATTATGGGGCATCAATTTTATACATTTTGAATTCAGGCTGTAACACAACAAAATGTGGAATAAGTCAAGGGGTATGAATACTTTCTGAAGGCACTGTATGCATGGTGTATGTGTCGAGTGTTCAATGTATAGTTTTTATTTGGAATACAGTAGTACTGTGTCTAAGACTGTTTTACCCCATTGGATAATTAGTTTTGTCTTGTCTTATCCTATCAAGGGTTGCAAAATTCTGGTAACTTTCCCAAATGTCTTGCTCAGGAAGAACCTAAAGAAGCACAAGATGGCCCACACAGGGAAGAAACCCTTTGGTTGCACCCTATGTGGGAAAAATACAGGGTACTGAAGAACTTAGAGAGACACATAGCCAATCAAGGATGATCAATGGAAACAGGATGCACCTGAGCTCAATTTCAAGTCTCACAGCAATGGGTCTGAATACTTATGTAAATAAGGTATTTCTGTGTGTTATATTTTATACATTTGCAAACATTTCTAAAAACGTGTTTTCTCTTTGTCATCATGAGGTATTGTGTGTAGATTGATGAGGGAAAAAATGAAATTAATCAATTTTAGAAAAAGGCTGTAACGTAACAAAATGTGGAAAAAGTCAAGGGGTATGAATACTTTCCGAATGCACTGTATGTTGCTCCGTCTGTGGGAACAGGGTGCTGAAGAACTTGACACATGACAACCACACACCCAGACATAAAGACATTGAGGAGGTGAAAGACCACACCCAGACATAAAGACATTGAGGAGGTGAAAGACCACACCCAGACATAAAGACATTGAGGAGGTGAAAGACCACACCCAGACATAAAGACATTGAGGAGGTGAAAGACCACACCCAGACATAAAGACATTGAGGAGGTGAAAGACCACACCCATACATAAAGACATTGAGGAGGTGAAAGACCACACCCAGACATAAAGACATTGAGGAGGTGAAAAACCACACCCAGACATAAAGACATTGAGGAGGTAAAAGACCACACCCAGACATAAAGACATTGAGGAGGTGAAAGACCACACCCAGACATAAAGACATTGAGGAGGTGAAAGACCACACCCAGACATAAAGACATTGAGGAGGTGAAAGACCACACCCAGACATAAAGACATTGAGGAGGTGAAAGACCACACCCAGACAGTGAAAGACTGAATAGTAGAAGATAGAATATTTGAATGGGATACAGAACACGTAGGCCGCCTGTAATCTAGAAATCTATTAACTATGTCTAAAATCCTTCAATACGTTGTAGATCCATCCTTCAATGCATATTAGATCCATATAGATGTTTGGTATTGTTCTCAGTATAACCACTTGCCGACAGACTTTGAAAATGAAGTGTATGTGCGAGAGGTGAGAGATGGATGCTGTTGACACAGTGAATGATGAGCCAGCATGTTTAGAAAAGGCCTTTCCTGCCTGGCTGTCGCCTATTCTGAGCCTTATGCCGCGTTCAAAACTTTTGGGAGATCCGAACTCTTCGACTTCAGTGTGTTCAAGACAAATGGGAACTTGGAAAAAAACGAGCTCCGACAGGGAAAATTAGTTTTGAACGGTCTTCCAACTCGGAATTCCAGGAACCTGGGCCTCTTTCTAGACCTGGGCCTCTTTCTAGCTTCGACCTTAAGATCACTGACGTCATGATTTGACCTTGTTTTTTTTCAGATTTCCCAGTTGTCTTAAACGCACCATTAGAAATGAGTGTTTTGCATGCCTCTTCCTAAGATGGCTGATGTATAACTGTGAACACTGTGGCCCTTACTAAGATGGATAACAAACCTCGGTGTACTCATACACTGATAATGTTATAGAACACTATGGGAGAATCTCAATTGGATACTCCTCGCATCCTCTCTCTGTGCCTCCTAAAAATCCATTGGATGAGAAAGCCAGAGTTCCTTCTCCTCTTACTTTCTCCTCCAATAGGTTTTGAGAAGGAGGATAGAGGACTCGAGGCGTATAACATTTACATTCCCTCTAAGCAGTTTCTCCTGACCAGGAAAAGATTCAGGGCCCTAGTTGTCCAGAGGGTTATATGAAGATGAAGGCTCAAGGAGTTAGCCTGATAACTTGCCTAAATATTCAGATAAAAGTTTTTTTTTTCAAGGAGTTAGCCTGATAACTTGCCTAAATATTCAGATTTTTTTTTTTTTTTTTAGAAAGATCAGTTTTAAATGGGCATGGTCTACTTTACTCAACAACCAAAAACACATATCTAAGTTAAGCTTTCTTTATGAATGATAAAATAGTTATTTCTGGATGTTTATCAAAGTTAGCTGGCTTTGATCCAACTTTGTAGTATACCCCTCTGGTCAAACCAATTGGTCAGGAAGCACTCCTGGCCCTAAGCATATCATATGAAGGTACTGTACTGTAGTTAAAAGATAGCATACTAAATGTCTCCTTTTGAGATGGTTTTCTGTAAGGGTAAATACACTATAACAACAATCTGTCGATGCCGATGTTTTCTATTGAAATGATTGAAGGCAAATGCATGTGTTTGTGTCCTTTTTGGTGGAAGGAAATTCCAGGAATAATATTTAAATGTTCAGTCAGTCAGTGTCCAAACATCCTCCTGTGTCTTTACTTTTATTTGATCAGAAATAATAATTATTCCATTATCATTTGGTATTATTCTGTTTGCACCACATCCAGTGGCTTGGCATTTTTTCTATTTTGTTGCCTTACAACACACAATGCCTACCACTTTGAAGGCAAAATATTTTTAAATGTGAAACAAACAAGAAATAAGACAAAAAACAGAACTTGAGCGTACATAACTATTGCCACCTTTTCAGCAATTACAGCTGCAAGGTACTCTGGGTATTTCTCTTAAGCTTGGCACATCTAGTGCTGGGATTTTTGCCCATTCTTCAAGGCAAAACATGCTACTAGCTCCTTAAAGTTGGATGGGTTCCGCTGGTGTACAGCAATCTTTAAGTCATACCATATGGTCTCATTGGATTGAGGTCTGGGCTTGGATAGGCCTTCCAAGACATTTAAATGTTTCTCCTTAAAACCACTCGAGTGTTGCTTTAGCAGTATGCTTAGGGTCATTGTCCTGCTGGAAGGTGAACCTCCGTCCCAGTCTCAAATCTCTGGAAGACTGAAACAGGTTTCCCTCAAGAATTTCCCTGTATTTAGCGCCATCCTTCCTTCAATTCTGACCAGTTTCCCAGTACCTGCCGATGAAAAACATCCCCACAGCATGATGCTGCCACCACCATGCTTCACTGTGGGGATTTTGTTCTCGGCGTGATGACAGGTGTTGGGTTTGCGCCAGACATAGCGTTTTCCTTGATGGCCAAAAAGCTCAATTTTAGTCTCATCAGACCAGAGTAGCTTCTTCCATATGTTTGGGGAGTCTCCCACCTGCCTTTTGGCGAACACCAAATGTGTTTGCTTATTTTTTTCTTTAAGCAATGGCTTTTTTCTGGCCACTCTCCACTCTCCAGCTCTGTGGTGTGTACGGCTTAAAATGGTCCTATGGACAGATACTGCAATCTCCGCTGTGGAGCTTTACAGCTCCTTCAGGGTTATCTTTGGTCTCTTTGTTGCCTCTCTGATTAATGCCCTCCTTGCCTGGTCCGTGAGTTTTGGTGGGCGGCCCTCTCTTGGCAGGTTTGTTGTGGTGCCATATTCTTTCCATTTTTAAATAATGGATTTAATGGTGCTCCGTGGGATGTTCAAAGTTCCTGATATTTTTGTATAACCCAACCCTGATCTGTACTTCTCCACAACTTTGACCCTGACCTGTTTGGAGAGCTCGTTGGTCTTCATGGTGCCGCTTGCTTGGTGGTGCCCCTTGGTTAGTGGTGTTGCAGACTCTGGGGCCTTTCAGAACAGGTGTGTATATATACTGAGATCATGTGACACTTAGATTGCACACAGGTGGACTTTATTTATCTAATTATGTGACTTCCGAAGGTAATTGGTTGCACCAGATCTTATTTAGGTGATTCATAGCAAAGGGGGTGAATACATTTGCACGCACCACTTTTGCGTTATTAATTTTTTTGAATTCTTTGAAGCAAGTTATGGTTTTCATGTCACTTCACCAATTTTGACTATTTTTGTATGTCCATTACATGAAATCCAAATAAAAATCCATTTAAATTACATGTTGTAATGCAACAAAATAGGAAAAATGCCAAGGGGGATGAATACTTTTGCAAGGCAGTATAGGTCTCTCTTTATGTAGTGTTTTGGTGTTTTGTTAGATGCAGGCTTCTATTTGAGCCAGGCATCAATTTACTTAATGCACACACCTTTTACTAATTTGCATAGTTAGTTGTTTAATTCCAGCATTCACTTCCAGCATTTTAATCAATTTCCTGCACTAATGTGTTAAGATTTACACATTGTGTCACGTTTCTTTTGTCTTAGTTGGCCTAAATAAATGAATAAAATATGCCAATTTCTGGGGGTCTGTATTCCCAAAGTTGTTGACTGTTTTTATGCTTGCCAGTTTATAGCTAACAGTTCTCAGCTGTTAGCAGCCAATGGTTAGCAGTTTTTTTTTACTGGCAATAAAAATGGAAGATTGCCATAATTTCTTCGAGTCATTACTGAATTATTTAATGTAACAAATCAAACATTAAACCTCCAAAACAATTCATGGTAACCTCGTAAACAATTCATTTAGACCTTGAGTTTATTTGAAACAGGTGTGTATTTGAGAATTTGTGTTTAATTGAAGTTTTACGGTAGATAGATTATGTCATCAAAACAGTCCAATGTTAAAACTATTTTGTCTCCTTGGATTCTCTCACCAGGCTAGCCCCCTTCAGTTCCACAGACACCTGGAAAATAAATGACAGAAACTCTTTCAGGTACTAATTGAGATATCACTCGCTAACACACACTACAATAACAACTTGGAAACACGGTAATAAGACCCAGAGTTAGGGATAATTCCATTTCAATTGAGTCAATTCAGGATGTAAACTGATATTCCACTTCCACATTTTCATCATTGAAATACATTGAGGAAAATTGTAATAAAAATGTGTTTATTTCCTGAAATGGAATTGACCCCAACTCTGATAAAAGTACAATGTTTTCAATGCCTGTCTGTTGCAATAAGGAAAACGGTCTGTAATATGCTTGTTGTTACCTGTCTGAGTGGTTCCACCCTCCTCTTCTTCCTCACGGTGGAAAATCTGTCCATCTGGTTGAGTCCTCCAGCGCAGTTGAACGTCAGACACACCCTGCTTCATGAGCTCTACATGCAGCTAAATTAAAGCACAAGAGGTTAGATTATTCTCTCTCGCTCGCTCTCTTTCCATGGGAAACATATGTTAACATTGCCAAAGTAAGTGAAATAGACAAACAAAAGGGAAACAAAAAATAAACAGTAAACATCACACTCATAAAAGTATTAAAATATAGACATTTCAAATGCTATACTATTGGCAATGTACAGTGTTGTAACATATTGTGCAAATAGTTTAAATATGAAAGGGAAAATAAATAGACAAATATAGGTTGTATTTACAATGGTGTTTGTTCGTCACTGGTTGCCCTTTTCTTGTGGCAACAGGTCACAAATATTGCTGCTGTGGTGGCACACTGTGGTATTTCAACTAATAGATATGGGAGTTTATCAAGGTTGGATTTGTTTTCAAATTCTTTGTGGGCCTGTGTAATCAAATCAAATCAAATCAAATTTTATTGGCCATATTCGCCGAATATAACAGGTGTAGACATTACAGTGAAATGCTTACTTACAGCCCTTAACCAACAGTGCATTTATTTTTAATAAAAAAGTAAAATAAAACAACAACAAAAAAGTGTTGAGAAAAAAAAGAGCAGAAGTAAAATAAAATAACAGTAGGGAGGCTATATATACAGGGGGGTATCGGTGCAGAGTCAATGTGCGGGGGCACCGGCTAGTTGAGGTAGTTGAAGTAATATGTACATGTGGGTAGAGTTAAAGTGACTATGCATAAATAATTAACAGAGTAGCAGCAGCGTCAAAAGGATGGGGTGGGGGGGCAGTGCAAATAGTCCAGGTAGCCATGATTAGCTGTTCAGGAGTCTTATGGCTTGGGGGTAGAAGCTGTTAAGAAGTCTTTTGGACCTAGACTTGGCACTCCGGTACCGCTTGCCGTGCGGTAGCAGAGAGAACAGTCTATGACTAGGGTGGCTGGAGTCTTTGACAATTTTTTGAGGGCCTTCCTCTGACACCGCCTGGTATAGAGGTCCTGGATGGCAGGAATCTTGGCCCCAGTGATGTACTGGGCCGTACGCACTACCCTCTGTAGTGCCTTGCGTTCGGAGGCCAAGCTGTTGCCATACCAGGCGGTGATGCAACCAGTCAGGATTATCTCGATGGTGCAGCTGTAGAATTTTTTTAGGATCTGAGGACCCATGCCAAATCTTTTCAGTCTCCTGAGGGGGAATAGGCTTTGTCGTGCCCTCTTCACAACTGTCTTGGTGTGTTTGGACCATGATAGTTTGTTGGTGATGTGGACACCAAGGAACTTGAAGCTCTCAACCTGTTCCACTACAGCCCCGTCGATGAGAATGGGGGCGTGCTCAGTCCTCTTTTTTTTCCTGTAGTCCACAATCATCTCCTTTGTCTTGGTCACGTTGAGGGAGAGGTTGTTATCCTGGCACCACACGGCCAGGT